ATTAACTTTTGAAGCTAATTGAACAGATCTTAGAAGTTTAAAAATTGAACAAATTTCTTTCTTTAAAATTTTTTGGTATTTTTTCATAGTATTGTATAATTCCAAATTAGAATGATTTAAATCCTGTTTTCGGTTTTTTAAATAAGCTTTGTTTAAAATAGCTCAATGCGATTTGAAAAAAAACTAGAAAAAGACTTATAGCTGAAAATAATACGAAATAATATAGTCACTGGCAAGTTCTAGTCAGTTGTTTTGTTTTAGCGTTTTCAATAGTTTTTGCAAAATTACCTCAAGAGAAGAACTTTCGCTGTTTATCGGATGAATGCTGCGATAAGCATCAATGGTGCAAGTTTTGGGCATCGCTTGATGAGTGTTTTCTTAATCCTGAATGGATGCTCGAGAACTGTCAGATTTCGTGCAATTTATGTCCTAATAAAGGTGAGTGATTGTGAACTTTTAATAATTAGTGGTACAGTTTTTACTTTTTAGGCTAGTTTTTACGAGTTCCGTTCTTTTTCATTATAGTTCTCAGAGTGTATGAACTTTTGATGCCGTCTACGTCAATTCTCAAAAAAACTCTTTAGAAGAATGTGTCACATAAACCTTGACAAATTTGTGTTGAACACTGTAAAGCTACTTAGTGGATAAAAAGAGATAAACAGTAACTTTGAGATTTTTTTCTAAAATAATCGAAATCTTAAATAACTGGTTGTTTTGATTATTTTACTATCATCTTTATCGTGGTTTAATTTTTGCCTTTAATCTAGCAGAAAATCTTTGGTTGGAGGATATAACGTCGGTTTCTCTTTCTCAGCATTTAAATAGTTTCAATTTTGGTGAACTTTGACAGCTTACTAACACCAGACAAAAAATGTTCGTAACTTCCACTTTTAATTGACAATTTTATCGTTCTTTGAATTTTTTGTTTCTATACCAATCAGGCTTTTAGAAAGCCAAATTTTTGCGTAATAAAATAACAGTTTTTTATTGATCTTTTTCATGCGAATTTTCAATACCTTTGTAAAAAATATTCTAAGCTCAAAAATATTGTTCTAGCTAAGATGCAGATTTACAGTTTTAATTTTTTGTTGTTTTGTTGTTTTTGATTTTAAATAGTTTTTGATTTTGCTCTTTGTTAACCTGAGGTTACTAATTACATTTTTATATTGGATGGTATGCTGTTCTTGACTCTTTCTAAAACTGCTAGGAGTTTTTAAGAAAGATTTGTAGCGTTACAGCTCTTTCCAAGTGTTGAGGTTTCAACAGGTCAAACGTGTAACTTGGTTGTGGAGAATGTCAATACCGGGAAATGCGGCCTGCTTTAAAATTAATCTTTGTTAAAATCAAAATTTCACTGTCTTAGCCAAAAACTTTTTTGAATTTTTAAAGATATTTATAGTAATTATTATGTAATCATTGTTACTTTGGTTTCTGTTATTATTATTATTATTATTTTCATTATTATGATTATAATAACTATTGTTACTACTGTTGTGGCAGTTGAAGCGGTACGAGTTAGGTTACACTGGGAATATCCTGAAGATGGAAAAGAGATGGCTTAAAAAACTATCTGGCTCACGGTTATATTTGAAATAAAAAGAAATCTTTTTGATGCAGTTACAAATTTGCATTGATTTGCATAAATTAAACAACTCGTTTTATGTAAAAAATTGGAATAAACTAGTTCAATTTATAGGAATTAAGATCTGGTTTACTTCTGTACAAAAGAAGTGTTACTTTGAAGAAGATTTCAAGTTGCTGCTTTTATTAAAATTTTTTATAGCTCTGGCAGAATCAATGAATCCGTCAAAGCCTCGACTTTTTGCGGCTACTGGGGTTTTAGATGAGTGTAGAATTTTGGCTTCGAAGCTTGAAAACGTTGCTGAAGAAATGATTAAAAAAAAATTGCTCAATCCAATAGAAGATGCATTTTCTAGGCAACTATTATCTGTTGATGATATTACAAAACATGCACGTGTCGGCTGTGTTCCACAGGTTAAATTATTGTTTTTTTACTTAAAATTAATTATCGCTAAATTTCCGCTGCTGAATGAAAACTGTTTAGCTGACAAATGCCAGTTGCTCACAATCACTCTGTTATCACTTGTACTACCGCAGCTTTGACGGTGCATGCAACAACTTAGAAAAGCCTCTTCTTGGAGCCGCTTTTCGACCATATCTACGGTTAGTTTTTGGATGTGAAATTTATGCAACAAATTATTAGTTACAAACTTTTTGGAAATTTTAATTCAGGCAGCTACCTCCTGAGTACGATGATGGCATTACTGAACCAGTCGGTAAGAATTTCAAAAACGTTTATCGAGTTCTGGTTTTAAATTGCAATTTTTTAATTGTATACAAGACAGTTCCAATATAAATGAATTTTGAACATTAGATGCTAACTTCTTTTAGTTAAAAGTAAGGATACTGTAAACAAGTAAAAATTACTAGGAGGTCCAAGGCAGACAAACTATTGTGCTTAAACCATAAAACCATTTTTAAAGGATCTTTAAAGCGAATTCGTCCATCAGCGCGCGGAGTCTCAAGGTTCGTTCTCTCCAGTCGTCAAGTTGTTACTCACAAAAGATACAATGCAATAATTATGCAGTTTGGACAGTTCATCTCTCACGACATTGCCAAGACGACGTTACAACCAACAACTCCCTGTTCAACCTGTAAACCAGTGCCGTCAAAATGTATGGTCGTCAGAGTGACACGCAGCGATCCAAACTTTTTGTATGTTTTCTTCAATAATCTATTGGCAATTTGATAAAGAAAATACTTTACCCTATCTGAACTCTAGTGGTAGGTGGATTGCCAGTCTAGTTCCTAAGCTTGTCTTTGCTTTCTGAGTTGCTAAGAACATTTTAGGTTTAAAAAAAAAGAGTGCTTGAAAATTTCTCGTGCCGCACCCGTTTGCGGTGTATCGCCTCGACAGCAGTTGAACGAAAATACAGCTTTTGTCGATGCCTCAACGTTATATGGGTCTTCACAAAAAGATATACACAAATTTCGCGACGGGCGGACAGGATTTTTGAGAATGAATCGCTTCAATAACCAAGTTGTAAGTTTGTCTCCTTTTTATTACGAAAAAACAATTGCTTCTGAAGCATTAACTTGACAAATAATAACAACAAAATTAAATTAAATTTATGTTCCATAAAGGTACTACCTTTTGATCCAATGAAATGCCCCTCATTGGAGAAGTGTACCGCCTCATTTATTGCCGGAGACGCCCGCGTTAATTTATTCACTGGCCTTTCAGCCATGCACATTTTGTTTGCTCGTGAACATAACAGGTTAGATAAGTTCTACGGATCTAACTTTTCATTAGTCTAAATGATTGGTTTCTGCAGAGTGCCTTAAAAAATCAAAAGATTTTGTAACCAGATTTACAAAAAATGTTGTTAGTTTGGCATTTACACGTACAAAAAAGAGAGATTAGAAGAGGAGATTATAAACAAAATGTCTCTTTGTACAATAAAGATGAAAGCATGCCTGAAACTTTGATTGCAACGTCTTCATATTGAAGGCTTGCATCGGTATTGCACAGCACTAATCCCAGTTGGTCTGGCGACCGTCTATTCCAAGAAGCACGAAAAATAGTTGGAGCAGAAGTTCAAGTTATTTTGTACAACGAATTTCTGCCTAAAGTTCTCGGAGACGCTTATAAAAATGTGATAGGGTCATATCAAGGATACAATCCTGAAGTTGACCCAACAATATCTAACGTCTTCACTGCTGCTGCTTATCGCTTTGGTCATGGAATGTTACAAGTAATTTGCTTTCCAAATATTTATCGGAAATATTAGAGAAGAAAAAATACTGACAAACACGGAAGAAGACTGATTAAGGCGCATTAGTGAACAAAGTTAGATTGCAAATTGCGAAATTCTTATAGGAATTCTACACAAGGCTTGACACGAATTTCACTGCCAGTCAAAAAGGATTTACGTTCGCGGATGGAATATTCAAAATTGGTAGATTACTGTTTGAAGGTGGAATAGATCCTGTACTTCGTGGACTCATGATGACACCAGTTAAGAAGCCGCATCGACTAACACCGTCGATAACTGAAAAAATGTTTGGAAGGTAGCTTTCAGGAGATTTTCACTATATAAAAATTTGAGTTTTTATAGGAAGAATTTTACTGTAAATCAAGGAAGTTTAGCTTTAAAATCTTTATGTTATTTTATGCTTTCATTTTCAGTACTGACTTGGGCACAATAAACATTATGCGAGGTCGTGACCACGGACTGCCATCATACAACAAATGGAGAAGATTCTGTGGCCTTAAATTTGCCACTGAATTTGATGATTTCAAGAAAGAGATCTTAGACCCTAAAGTTCGACAGGGCCTTTCTAAAATTTACAAATCACCAAGTGAGTTTAGTTGCTGTTTCTCACAAAAAATTACAAAAAATTTTTTGAATCAGCAAAGGCTTTGTTCTCCTGATTAGAAGAAACCAAGCCACTGTACAGCAAGAAAAATCAGTTGTAGACAGAAGTTTTTGACCAAGAGGCTGTCTTTTAAGAAGATTCTTGTAAAAAAGTTATTAGAATTTTGAAACAGATCTAAGAAAAATTACTTTTAGTGAAAAGAATCTGTTCTAACCACGTCAAGAAATGATTGAAATAAAAAAAAGAAAAAATTTGCAGATTTATCAGGCTCTTTTGATCTGCTGTTTTATCATAACTCGTAATTACTATTGATATTTGTGATTTTAGACGATGTCGACCTTTATGTCGGAGCTATGGTCGAAGATCCTGTAGCAGAAGGCCTCGTTGGGACCACATTGGCTTGTCTTGTTGGAAATCAGTTTAAAAGGTTGCGGGATGGAGATAGGTACGAAACTTGACTAAGAAGAATTTATATAGTAGTTTTTGGAGATCTATTAATTTAAAAGTTTGTGTGCATTAAATGCGAGCTTTTACTGCAGGTTTTATTTCGAAAATCCTGGAATTTTTACTGCCCGACAGTTGGCTGAGTTACGAAAGGTAACACTATCTAGGATCATTTGCGACAACGGAGATGAATTTGACACGATACCAAAAGACGCGTTTTTGTTTAGCGATGAAGATCTTAGTAGCTGCAGTACAATAGTTAAGATGGATCTGAAAGAATGGAAAGAATAATTAATTGCATAGTTGTATTGTTCTATGAGATTACTTTTAATGGCACTCACCTCTATTTTAGTCACTGCTCAATTTGAAGATCATTTAATGCTCTTAGAACTGAAAGGGCAGAAGAATCTGTTTCGTTAAAATCTTCACAAGTGTCTAAAATTTTACAGTAATTTGACATTTACTTAGATATAGGCTTTTTAAAGCATAGAAGGAAAACAATTTTATAGTAAATTTGATCACTTTATAAAGCTATTGGATGAAATGATCTTCTGTGACGTTTGGTACGGGATTACCGCTTGAATTATTAATTTTATTTTCTCTAAAAAATTATTTTATTTCACTGATTATTTTACTAAATTTTATCGTATGGTCTGCTTCCTTGCTCACCACTCTAATATTTAGGAAAAATTGCTCAGGATTTTACGGCTTATAATACCTCTTTCCGTATTATGCTTTTACAGTCATTCTACATCATGAATAACTGAGCCAAATTACGGGTTAATTCTTTTTATCATTTCTGTGTAATTATTACTTGTTATTTTGGTACTTCCTTTGTTAGTGTGAAAAATAAAAATTTAAGTTTGCAACGTTATAGTTGTTTTACTTAGATGGTGAACTTTAAAGTCATTAGGTTCAACCGGACAAGGCACCTTTTAGTAGCACTCCTAAGGTGTAAACGCAAATCCCTGTAATCAAGTAGCAACAGTGAAAGCAGGTATGAATCTGCAATGACGCGAGCAACCAATTATTTTTTGTTCTACTATTTGCAGTCAGTTTGTTTTGATGAGTTCCATAATTACTGATTTTAAGTTCTGCTGCCTGTAATAAAACTAAAAATAAGTAATTGAGTGACTCATGACTCATTAAGATGAGGAGAATCAGGGAATTGTGGAGCACTTGCTGAGATCCTGTTTAGCTGATTTTCAATCTAAACGAAAATGTGCCTTAAAAAATTCTTGGTGGTAATGTAAATTGTAGTTGAAAATCGTCCATTTCTGCCTTGTGCTTTCGTACCCCCCTTGAGCTACAGCTGTGTTATTCACGTTTTGTCAGAAGTATCTACAGTTTTTCGAATCTTATGACAATGAATTAGTGCTACATTCATTAAATCATAAAGTACCAGAAAAAGTCGCAGTGAAATGATTTATATTTTGTTTTATAAAGTATGTTAATCCTATTATATCTTATTTGCTTCATTGATGAAATTTCTGGTTAGTAGCTGGTAACGAAAAATAAATGTGAAACACTATGCATTTTGCGACAGATGACAGGTAAAACGTAATGTAACCCGCCACCTTAAGCAGCACATTATTATAACCAGGAACGACTCGAATGGTGATGAGTAACGTAGATGTAAAGTAAGTAAAAAGCTCTATTAAATACCTAAATGTAAATCAGCCTCGTACAATTTTATTGGTATTTCCTAATTGATGGCAGAAATGAAGGAAAAATGGTATAAATACTAGATGCGATTAATAATTATAAGTTTTGTTTCTGCTTATTGCTTGGGATAGTATAATTAAAAAATGTATCCATATTAGCGTAGTCAACCTTTTTCTTTTCAACGCTTCTAATCATGCAATATATCTCCCTGAAATAATTTTATAATAGTTCGCAATACATTTAGAAATTTTTTAGAAGCGGACTTTCCTTTGCATTCGAATTCAGTTAAACAACTTTCAGCAAATCCTCGCATCCCTTTGACCCCTTCCACCTCCCCTTTTGCTGCCTGCAAAATTTTATCTACGTTTTGGAAGCGTATCACTAAACTCATATTTTGCGTGCCATTAATACGGCTTTCTCAGATGTGTATACAGATATGGTGTTTTTATCTGTGCTTACTTTGCCTCTTTGCCATTTAAAATTTAAAAAAATTACGCCAAAGCTGCACATTCCACTACACTATAACATTCTTAGAAAAAATCGATTTTTCCCTTCTGCCTTCAAATAATGACACCTCCTGTGTCCACACGTATTTCGATACTTCTTCTTCTTAGATTTCAAACCTAATTTATTTGTTTCTACTGCACAACTTAGCAAACTTTAGTACCGTTTCAAAACGTCAGAATCCGGCACTTAAATTCTTCGCTGATCAAATAGCGGTTCCGTCAAAATACCTTAAATACAGTACAGTCTCATATATACAAAGTTCAATTTTATTTATTTCTCGCCTACGGAAACCTTGCATTAGTTTTTCCATAAAATTAGGTTTGTAGTAAATATTTGCTCGAAAACATTTACAAACCGTACTAGCGTACTAGCTGCTGGCTAAATACCAACCAATTTATTTAATATTACTTTTTTTGTGTATTTTTACTGAAAAAGAGAACGACCAGTACAAAGGCTGCAAAAGTGTTTTTAAGTTTGCACTTCAGTTACTGTTAGCAAAACTTTATTTACTTTTTCTTCTTTTAACATTAACTGGCTCATTTTTACCTGCCATTGCTCTTTTTGTTTGAGAGTAAAAAGTTGGAAATGTAGATTAGCAGAAGGATAACCATAACACTGTTCGTTTGCCACCACTAAACAGCTTTCACATGAAGAATCTGCATTAACTTACAGTAGGTTTTTCTCTATAATAGGTTTTGCAAACCAGCTCCAGTGCTGCACCTTCTCGAGAATTTCCGCAGTTTTAATCTTATTGAGTGAAAGTATTGTCGCCTTATCACTTCCGCCCACAAAATGACTAGATCAAATAATCGCTGATTAAATCAAAATTTTTAAACCAATTTTTCCTGCCAAATGCGTGTTAGAATTGAAATAATAAATTGCACCGTCTATCCCCAATAACTGCACTATAAGTAGAAAAGACTACATTTTACAAGCACTTCTTTAGGAGGGTACACTGACGAATACTAATTTGGAGCGGCTCTCATGGAACTTTGGTC